CAAGACACTCCATTTCCCAACTCTGGGCATTTTCATTGGCTGTCCTCCATGCCTAGAACATTCTCCCTCTTCATGGCTTTCCTGGATTCCCTGAAGTTCCAGCAAAAACGTCACTTTTTATAGGAAGTCTTTCCCAACCCCTCTTAGTTTCTGGTCCCTCTTAGAAGAGGTAATTCCATCTGTTTGTTATTTCCCATTTATCTTGTATAAAGCTTTTTTGCACATAGTTATTTGCATGTTGTCTCTCCCATTAGATGGTGAACAGCAGGAACGATCTTTTTTTTTTTTTTTTTTGCATTCCTAGTCCTTAGCACAATGCCTGGTACATAGTAAGTGCTTAATGCTTATTGCCTGTAACCTCTAAATTTCCCACACTGGAGCAAAGTCCTGTGGGATCTACCTAGTTAGGACACTAATAGATAAGTAGCCTACGACTTTGAAAAATTTGGTATACAGTTGTCATAGGGAGGTCTGGGTCTCTACACAGTCTGAAGACATGAGTATTTTTAGCACTTGAATGATATTTCTTACTCCTAAAGAGTTTAGGACCATTTACAATAATTAGTTGTCATCTGGGTCTAACAAATAAATGTCTTCTTCACAATATAGGCCCAGTATTTTGCCCCCTGCAAAACCTCTCTTTCAAACATCAGCTGAAAATTCCTGATAGTATAAATCAGCTCTCAAGATGGCCTGGCTCTTGGTAACATTAGTTCCTGACCTTACAATAAGACAGATCTGGCCAGAGGAGCCAAGACTGAAAATTTGGCTAGGCAGGGTGAGATTGGGTCAGTACCATAAATTAGGAAAACCAGAAATCAAATCCAGAGAAGTTAGCAAAGACAAGGAAGACTGGGTAGGCATGATGGTAATTAATCTAGATGGACATTACTACCAATTTGCTTACCCTTATCTGGCAATGTGTGTGCATCAAGTTCCATCTTCAGTCTCAACGATGATTGTAGTAGAACCTCCTATCAATCTCATATGATAGGAGAGATGGAAAGTTAGTATGGTATGACTCAAAGGGTACCCTGTCTGGTTCAAGTCACCTAGGCACATTAATTCTATTCAAGTAGGGAGCCATCAATAGATTGAACTGGCTGCCACTTGGGGGCAATGAGACCCCTCATCATCCTTTTATTCCTAGCTTGATTATTATAGATTGCTTGTCCTCATGTTCATGTATTTTTTTTTTTGGTTTAGGCAATGGGGATTAAGTGATCTGCCCAGGGTCACACAGCTAGTAAGTGTCAAGTGTTTGGTCTGAGGCTGGATTTGAACTCAAGTCCTCCTGACTTCAGGGCCAGTGCTCTATCCACTGTGCCACCTACCTGCCCCTCATGTATTTTTTTAATCTTTTTTTTTTTCAAATCTTCACTCTCTCCTTCCCATACTTGCACCCTTTCATAAGAAAGCAAGAAAAACAAAACCTCTCTTTCAAACAAGTATAGTCAAGCAAAACAAATTCTCACATTGTTCAGTACTCTGAGTTCCTTACTTTTTTATCAGGAGGTGGGTAGCGTGTTTTATCATGAGCCTTCTGGAATTGTGGTTAGTCATTGTGTTGATCAGAATTTTACTGTCTTTTAACATGCCCATGTATTTCTGACCCATGAGTTCAGTGTCAGGGAGTCTCAGTCATAGTAGATTTGGAGGCCTCTGCAAAATTTACAGATTTAATTCTGATCCAGAGACAGCAAATACACAGGGATGCTATGTTACTATGTTGGTGGCTGAAATAATTGACAGGTGCCCATTTCAATCTGGACTCATGCCACAGAAAACCGAGCAAAGATAAGGGAACTCATGCAGGCTGATAAGAATATCCAGGAAAAATGTAGGGGGGTAAAAGGAGAGGGTTTTGGGGGATGCCCCCAGTGAGCAGGAAATGGATGATGATCCAAAGAAGTTAGTAAGGAATGATCATGTAGGAAGTGAACAAAACCTCCCCCCAAACCTTCCCTTCTTTCTGGCTTCATGATTTCTGTTTATGACGATATCATTCACCATAACCCAGATCTGCCAACTAATGGTTATCTTTGACTTCTCTCTCGTATCTCTTATTCATTAAGTTACCAAATCTTTTCCATTTTATTCCTGAAATACCTCCCATAGTCCTCTTTTCTGTTATCACTACTATAGCCTTACTATTTACCTGCCTGGACTTTTGCAATAGTCTCTGAACAATAACAACAAAAACTACCAGGCTATGAACATGTGTGGTTTGCCCCCTTAAGTGGTTAATGTCTTCTGAATGGAAACATTTCCAGCAGATTTGTTGCTGTGCAGTCATGTTCTAATTTTTATAACCCCATTCGGGGTTTTCTTGGTAAAGACACTGGAGTGGTTTGCCATTTCCTTCTCCAGCTCATTTTATAAATGAGGAAACTGAGCCAAATAAGGGTAGGTGACTTGCCCAGGGTCACACACTAGCTAGTAAGTGTCTGAGGCCAGTTTTGAACTCAGGTCTTTCTGACTCTAGGCCTGGGGCTCTATCTGCCATACCACCTGGTACTGAGGGAAGACCAGTACTTCTGCTATGAGGGCTTGCCAAGCCTTTTTCAGGGCTGTTCCTCCATTTTTGGTATCCTTCTTTCACTCAACTCTCACCTGTGGCTACCAGAAGCTGTAGCATGCATGTACCGTGGCCACAGTGTGGTGAACCATCTTGGCAGATGGGCTAAACCAGGGCCAAGTTGAGGATAATCGACAGGTCTCAAACCTGTCAATGAGTCAGGGGGATGTCTACCCCAAGCATGGGCAGATGAGAACAATTTGTTCCAACAGCCATGAAGATGGCTGAAGCAGGTGCTGTGGAATCCTTAGAGCTTGGTCTCACATCAAAGACACCAAGGTCATCTACTGCAGCCTGGGCCATTGCCAGTCATCTTCACTTTTGTCTTGCCACTAGACCCTAATAATTCTGAAAGAGTGAGGCTCTGCATGAGTCAAGACATTACCCCATGATATCATTGGTCCTCTTTGAAAACGGACAAACATAAGTCTCTGAACAAGTCTTCCTGCTCTGGCACTCTGCCATTTCTAATCCGTCCTTTTTATTGTTGACAAATTTACTAAGGCGTAGATCTGATTTGCCATACCTCTGCTCAGAAGTCTTCAGTGGTTCCCTATATGGTTTCCCAAGCAAAGGTCCTGACATTCAAGGCCTTACTTAATCTGGTACCACAATACCATACTTTTTGCAATTTTATATTATGGACCAGAAAAACTTCTGCTCTGTCCCACAAACATATCATGTGCTCCACCACCTCTATGTCTTTCCTCATGCTAATTCCCAGGCCTAGAATGCCCTCCCTTATCCTCCCCCTCCCCTCCCCTGATATTTGCCTGTTGAATTCCTACTCCTCTTTCCTCAACTCAAATGCTATCTTCTGTATAAAATCCTTATCCCTTTGGCCAGTAATGACTCTCCCTCAGACCTCATATAGCACAGAATCACAATTTGACTCTCATAGTTAGAGGGGATATCAGAGACCATCTATTCAAACCACACTTGAATAAGAATACCCATCACAACAGGAGTTCCTGAAATCCCTGAACTCAAAAAAAAATGGTTTTTTTTAACATAACTATTTCAATATGATTGGTCTCATGCATTGTATTTTGTGCATGTAGAAGTATTCTTCTGAGAAGGGGTGCATAAGCTTCCCCACACTACCAGAGGGGTCCAGAACATAAAAAATTGTTCTCCAACTTGACAAACACTTGGCTATCCTTTGATTGAAGCTCTCCAGTAACCGGGAGCCTGCTGCCTCCTAGAAGCAGTTTCCAAGAATCAGTTTATTTTACTTTTGGATAGCTTTGTTTTTCCAGACTTTAATACTAAATTGGTCCCTGTGATTCCACTGATTATTCTTTGTGCTGTTCTCTAGGGCCAAGCAGAGCAAGCTATCCTCAGTTGCCTGAAGGATCAATTATCTCAAAAGGCCCCTCTGTAGACAACATATTTTGTAGTCACAAACCCTGAATCAGAGCTACTCGATTTGTCATAGCAAGTGTGGGACACCGAAACTCATACCTAGTTGTCCGTTCTCCAAGTGGGCATAATACCTATATCCAACCAAGGAGGACTGTCTCAGATGGGCTCTACTGTCATGTTGAACTTGTGTCCATCAGGGTGAGGCTGGAAGGAGAGGGTTCCATGTCTTCCATGAACTACTGATGTTAGGCACTGGGTGGGGGTGGGGTTTGCTGTTTTCAGACCTCATCCATAGACACCTCTGACTTTTGGTTTGGGTGACTGACATAATGCTGGCTTGTTAACTAGGCATACTAAGTATGTGCTTAGGTTAAGAATCCAATGGGCCGGCCAGCAGGCTCTCTATAACTCCTGCCTATTCCTTCCCTTTTTCTGGGTACTGATGTTTAAATATTCCAACATGGACTGGCCCTTGTCTCAGGGTACTAATCATTCTGACCAAGATGACAACCTTCCTTCCCTATGCTGGCATCCTAACACAGCTAAGATCAACCACCTGTTCTAAATGAATTTTTCTTGTTCCATGGGCTTCCCTCCAACTTCCTCTTTGATGTGTTTGATTTATGTCACACTTCTAAAGATACATCATTCATCAAGTCTAGTGGGCAGACAGAGGCCACAAAATGCTAGAATAACATTTTACAATTGAAATGACGAGATACCATACTGCCCAACAAGTTTTTAGAAATGACTTGGTCCATCCATGGCTTCCACCTATGTTTCTTTCCCTCCCTACATTTACTCTGTGTACTGTGGTTTCTATCCAGTAGTGACTGCCTGGGAGACTTGGGGGCTACCCAGGCTGACTTGTAGTGTACACTAATAGCCAAAGTGGTATACTCTATGGGGCCCACTGCCACTGTATTCCCATGGAGTTGTTGAGTGTAACAGGAGGTACATTGAATGGTCTCAGACTCTGAGAACTCTACTTCTTTTCTGACCTCATACTCATCTACTTCTTGAATATTTATCTCACAGTACATCTGTGCTCAAAATGGAAAGCAAAATCCCTCCTTGAGGGAGTTCATTGTTACATTTTTATATGAAGATATGCACATACACAGAGTCAACTGGTATCTCTGGTGACATATAATGGGATGGAAAGGGAGGTGGTAAGGGGCTCAAAATTCAATTGGCTGCTCTTTAGGATTCATCTCCTTTTGAGTTTTGTAAATGGGCAAAGCTCAAGAAGACTTGTTCCAGTGAGACTTGACTTACAGAATAGTCATCCAATTTATACCTGTCTTTGACTTCTTCCAAGATGCCAAATACCTGTGGGATAGTAGACATAGTCATAGTTAAGGTCCTTGTTCTAGGGATGTATGGAGTGGCTCCTAAATGTGTATTAGGAGGCAAAAGTTAAGAGACTGGTGAAACTCTTTAAATCCATCATCGGACCCAAATGTTGCCACGAAGTTATTAAACCCCAGTGTTCTTGGAGAAGGAAGTTGAGTGATACATCCCCAAGAGACCCTGTTCCTTTTTCAGTACCTTCCAGGTGGGCAACACCTCTAGGCCACACACCTGCTGAACACAGCATTCAATTGTGTATATAAGGAGATTAAGTCATGTTAAGAGAACTAAAGGCTAAGAAATTTTGTTCAACATTGTCATGGTAAATTGCTGAGGTGAAATTGGAACAGGATGGAAAGATTACTACCTAAGAAAAAGGGAAGGACAGACTCTTCACAGAGAACTCCTTCCCCCCTTAGAGTTGAGTTTATCATATTCCCGGATGTCTGAGTGCCATATCCACATCCCGAGGCCCCTGGGAGGGTTCAATGCCTCCTGAATGCTCCTCTTTGTAGAAAGTGCCATTAGGTAGCATCATTATAGCTCAATGAAATCTGCTTCCCACACTCACCTTTGACCATTTGAGATTCTCTTTGGGCAAGTGGTAATGGACCATCCCTTGGTGCTCCTCTTCCAGGATACTGCCTGGCAAAGGGAAAGACACATTTCTTTCTTTTTTTTTCTTAGGGAAAAAAACCTTATTTTTATTGATTTTTTTTATATCATCTTCCTTTTTGAAAATATCCCTCCTTTATCCCCTACCCAGTCATCCACCATCCCTTGAAACAAAGATTAAAATAGAAACAGGAAAATAAAGCAGACTTCTCTCTGGCTAGGAATTTGCCTAGGTTATCAGAAGCACCCCACTTCTTCCCTGTTTGTGTTTGGGGGCCCACATGTTTCTTCCCTTACCAACTGCACAGGCTCCTTTCTTTCTCTGATCCTGGGCAGTCTTTGCCTTGTTTCTTTATGTAGAGGGGTATGACAGGGGAAGGCTGCACTAGTGGCTTCCTGCAATATCTACAGGCAGCTAGGCAGCACAGTGAGTAGAGTGTTAAACTTGGAGTCAAGAGGACCTGAGTTCAAATTCAGCCCCAGATACTTACTAGCTGTGTGACTCCTTGGGCAAGTCACTTGACCCCTCAATTCTTCAATTTCCTCATTGTAAAAGAGGGGATAATAAGACCTACTTCTGAGAGTTATGAGATCCAAATGAGGTAACATATATAAAACCTTAAAGTGACATACAAGCTATTATTAGAGGAATTGGCACAATTCTTCAATTCCTGCACAGTCTTGAAAGACATTTCTCAGGGGAACAGGCTATTTCCTGGCAGGATTAGTTTTCAATCTAGTATAACTGCTGTAGTCAACTAAATATCCATACTTTTGAAATGAACCATTCAGGGTGGGGAGAATACTTCTGTATATGCTTTCCCCTCACAGCTTCATCTTTGTCTGCCATGCTGCTTAACTTCTGCCAAGTGAGTCAAGCTGTAGTTACTTAAGCAAGGACTTTGGTTACAGTCCTAAGGTGAAGGCAGAACATTGCAAGTGGCTGTTGCTGAAGTGGAACTGTGAAAATCCTATTTCCTTATTTTTACAGGAATTCACTGGCAAAACATGCCTGGCCAGAGGACAGATAAGAAAGATTTGGGCTATTTAGGGCCTGAGCTCCAGTACCTGGAAAGGTCTCATCCACAAATGTTTTGAATGCCTCAACTGCCATCTTTTCTTCCTCTTTAGTGTAGCCTTTAATTTTGGCCAGTAGGGTGTAGCCACTCCCATATTTGCTCTTGAGGTGCTGCGGGCTGCCCAGACACTTGAACTGTCCATTCACCATGATGGCCAGCCTGGTACACAGGGCTTTACATTCCTCCAGGCTGGGGAAACAAGAGGGAGGAGGGAGGCATGACTAAAGACTCCTTGCTTTGGAGGGCAAGGGCTGTGCACCTGGTAGGACTAAACCTGCAGGTCCCATCTCTGTAGAGGGAAGACCTGGGGCGAAAGGCCACCTCAGCAACGTAAAAATGTTTGGCATAAAAGGGGAGGAGGAGATACTCAGGTTTAGAATGGGAATTTCCCCCTTATCATCCCATTATAGAACATTATTCCACACAGCTTGTTGTCAGGACCAACATCAAAGGAACCTGAGGATCCCTCTTCCCAGGGCTCAACTGCTGACAGCTTTCTTGCCCCTGCCCTCTAGCCCTAGCACCCAAGAGTCCACAGACAAGGTCACAGAACCATCCCCGCTCTCATTTGAATTCCTTGTTACTATGGCAATCAAGGTGCAGGCCCACCTGTGGGAGGTAATGATGATGGCCTTGCCAAGCTGACGGATCTCGGTCACTGCATTCCAGAGCAGGCGCCGAGCCACAGGGTCCATGCCCGTGGATGGCTCATCCAGGAAGACAACTGAGGGATTTCCCATAAGGGCAATACCAGTGCTCAGCTTACGCCTGTTGCCACCACTATGTGAGGAGAAGAGCGGAGAAGAGGGACAAATAATAGTATTTCCAAGGCTCCAGAACAGAACGCCAGGGAGAATAAGAAACAATGTCTAATATGTCCAATATCCAGCAGCTAAATGGCTCAGTGGATAGAGTGCTGGGCCTAGAGTCAAGAAGACCCGAGTTCAAATGTGGCCTCAGACACTTACCAGCTGTGTGACCCTGGGCAAATCACTTAACCAGGTTTGCTTCAGTTTCCTCATCTGTAAAACAAGCTGGAGAAGAAAATGGCATCTTTGTAAAGAAAACCTTGTAGACAGTATGGTCCATGAGGTCACGAAAAGTCATTCATGACTGAACAACTGAACAACCACAAATATCCACATGCACAGGGACAGGGTGAAATACATGGTTGGAATGTGAATCTAATAAAGGTAGCAAGGCCCAAAGCCAGAAATAATGTTTTAGATGAGAGGGGTGGGGGATAGGGTTGAGTGGATACACAGAGCCAAAGAATGAAGTTGAGGTCAAAAGTATCAGAGGAGTAGTTTGGTCACAAGAGGTTGGGTGGTCAGAGAAATGACCATTGGAAATATATGCTCCAGGATATACTTGTATTTTATTGTATTTTTAATAATCAAGCATTTATTTTTTCATCCTCTGTCCTCTGTTCCTCCAATGGAAAAGAAAAAAGAAAACCAAAACCTTTGTAACAGATGTGCAAAGTCAAGTGAAACAACTTCCCATATTGGCAGTGTCCAAAAGCGTATGTCTCATTCTGCATCTCGAATCCATCACCTCTCTGTCAGGAGGTGGATAGCATGCCTTATCACCTCTGGATTCTCTGGAATTGTGATTAGTTATGGCATTGTTAAGGGTTCTTAAGTCTTTCAGGGTTGCTTTTATAACCCTGTTATTATAATATAAATGGTTCTTCTCACCTCATCAGTTCACAGACAAGTTTTCCCAGGCTTCTCTGAAATAGTCTCTCTCATCATTTCTCACAGTGCAATAGTATTGCATTACATTCATATATCATCATTTGTCTATCCATTCTCCAGTTGATGGGCAACGCCCCCCCCGACCCTTGTTGGTATGACAAATAAAGCTGCTATCGATATTTTTGTTCACATAGGACTTTTTCCCCTTTCTGGGGCTCTTCGGCATAGAGTTCCATTGGTGGTATGCATAGGTTGGGGCATAATTCTAAACTGCTTTCCAGATTGGCTGGACCAATTTACAATTTCACCAATGGTACAGCAATATGCTTGTTTTTCATAATCTCTCCAGCATTTCTCTTTTTTTGTCAACTTGCTAGTCTGATGGGCATAAGGGATTGCATAAGGGTTATTTAATTTGAATTTCTCTAATTATTAGTGATTCCAAACTTCTTTTTTTCATATTGCTATAAATAGCTTAGATTTCTTTCCTTGAAAACTTTTCCTTCACGTCTTTTGGCCATTTCTGTCAGCTGAAGAATGGCTTGTGGTGCATCATTTTAGCGATGAGCTGGCATGTACCCTGTTGCCTCAACATCATCATCATTACAATATTAATAACTAGCATTTATATAGCTCATCACACACGTGTTAATTCATTTGACCTTCACAACAACCCTGTGAAGTAGGTGCCATTATTGTCACCATTTTACAGATGAGGAAACTGAGACTGAGAGAAGTTAAGTGACTTGTCCAGGGTCATGCAGCTTGTTAAGTATCTGGGGTGAGAGTTGAACTCAGGTCTTCTTGGTTTCAAATTCAGCACTCTTACCCACTGTGACAGCTAGCTTTCTGTCACAACAGGGATCTAACTTCACACCCAGGGGACTTAAAGGATCCTTGGCTGAGCCACAAATCTACTCGGAGGATGCTCATATCCTTTTAGATGCACAAAACTTGTTAAGAACAACTTTTCACTTCGGATCACGGCTTCCCTTTAGGATAGGGCCATTAACGAGGCCAGTAGGTGGCGCCATAGTGCATGGAGTGCTGGGCCTGGAGTCAGGAAGATTCATCTTCCTGAGCTCAAATCTGGCCTCAGACACTTACTAGACGTCAGGTCCTGGGCAAGTCACACTCAGTTTCCTCCTCTGTAAAATGAGCTGCAGAAGGAAATGGCAAACTGCTCCAGTATCTCTGGCAGGAAACTCCAAATGCAGTCCCAGAGAGTTGGATACAACTGAAACAACGGACCAACAACAATATGCCATTAATTACAGGCAATCATTAGGCCCTGAGGGAAAGAACACGTCTAGGAGGGAAGAGGACACTATCCAAATTATGATTTAAAAGTGTAAACAAAATGTTATTCTGAGTCAAAGCCAAAAAGTAGTTCATAGTCCAGGGGGTAAGACGAGTACTCCTAGAGCAGTCAGGGTGTTCGTGAAAGGCGCCTTTTGGTCCCAGAAGAACTAGCCCAGGTTTGAAGCACTGTGTCAACACCACCCAAAACATGAGCTCAGAGGCCTCCACCTCTATGTTTACTGTCACCTATCAGTCAGAAGACACAAGCACTCTTATGTCATGGTCACTGCCTCACGTAATAGGGAACAGCAGATCAGGAGGGCTCCTCTGGCACTCCTACCTGGCTGGGGAATGGGCGACACTGCCAAGCCCTCCTCTGTCCCAAGGCACGGTCACAGGATTAGGGCTAGCAGGGGCCAGTCAGGATATCCTTTTCGGAATGAGAATCTGACTAGGTCAAATAACCAGCAGCTCCTTGCGGCTGTCCTGTTCCTCAGGTTACCAAATGGTTACTCCTCTCTTCTGCCTAAAGCCAGTCTTGCCTGGCCAGTGTGGTCATCTCCCAGACCTGGTACTGAGAAGGCTCCTCTGCTCACTGAGTTATGGCTGAGAAAAAGGCATGCTGCATTATTAAAGGGTAATGTTTATAAGAAGAGAAGAGGCTGCCAAAGCCTAATGTCTCACCTATAGTTTTTGACAAGTTTGTCTGCATGGGGGTCCAGATGCAGCTTCTGTATCATATTTTTCACATACAGTTGGATTTGGGGCTCAGGAATGCCCCATATCCGGGCATACATGGTTAAGGTTTCTCGTCCTGTCATGTGGTCCAGCAGGGCATCGAACTGAGGACAGTAGCTGACTTGTCCCTGCAACTGCAAGGAGAGAAGAGCCCTCAGGAGAGGCAAGGCAGGCTGGCTAGTGCACCCCATGTGAAAACCATCTTGGATCACATAAGCTCTAGAATCTGATAAGGCAAAAGACTCAGTCATGTTAGTCCAGGCCCTTGCTCAAGAAAGAGAATTCCTTCCTGTGCTCCGGTCAGGGCTTTCTGCTGCTGCCAACGTTGTGAATGCTCTCCACTGGGAGGTGGCAGAATCCCTGGAGAACAGTCATGGCCAATGGATAAGAGAAGGGATGTGAATTATTGTAGAATGGTGCTTTCAAGGCATGTGTGAGAGTGTGTGTGTGTGTGTGTGTGTGTGTTTGTGTGTTGAAGGAAAAAGGTATTTGGTATTTTGTTAGCACTAATTTCTTATAAGACAATATGAAACGTAGCAGCTTTATCAAGACCAAGGGGAGCAAGGACACTTAAGTGGGGGCTTCCTGTGAGCTCTGGAGACAAGGTCCTCAATGGGGAGGCAGTTTTATATCAGTGTCTATGAGCCTCTTCTAGGAGGATCCACAAAAGATTTTTAGGTCCTGTTTCCTTCTTACCTTGATTGTTATGCCAGTTTCCTATATGATATTCCTGACCTCACTATTTTTTCAGCCAAACTAGATCTTTCTTGTCCCTTTCTCTCCCCATCTCTGTCACTCTGCTCATGCCATATCTCCAAGTATAGAATGGTTATCCCTCTCATCTTCACCTACTGCCATCCCTCCCTTCCCTCAAGAACAAGCTCAGGGAGTACTTCCAAGAACTTGTCCCCAATTCTTTTGAATCTTTCGCTACTTTGTTTGGACCTTTTCTTTGTATTTATATACCAAATGATATTGCTATTTGTGTAAATCTTTATTATGCTATAAGCTCTCTGAAGGTAGAGACTATCATTTCACTGTTGTATTTGTGGCTTATAGAAGGTATGTATAGTGATATCTAACATGAAATATACATACTTGCACATGGAAGAGACAGGAGGCGACATGTGCCAGGTAAGTCAAACCATCATCACTATTTTGACTACTATTTCCTCTCAGACCCTGATGGGAACAGCCCAGGGCCCTCCACCCAAGGTCCTTTGCAATAGCAATGATTCTATCCCAGTGCCCTTGGCCATCATCCTGGGATGCAATCCCTGTGAAGATGTAGCCTGGAAACTGCTTCTGCAGGTGCTGTAGTCACAACTATCAAAGTCTCAAGTTCTTACCATTGAAGTCCTTGGTACTGTAAAATCTTTCAACATCAGAAATTGACACGATTTTATTAGTAGAAATGATATCAAAGAAGAGGCATTAACATCTGCTTTGTAATTGCACTCCTTAGGGTGGTAGCACCCATGAGATCACTGGACCTTTCCATCTGACTTGTAGCTGAAACCTTCCATATAGGTTGTCATCCCCATTAGACAGCAGGCACTGTCTTGCTTTTCTGTTTGTATCCCCAGTGCTTTGCACATCACATTCGATAAAATGTTTTATTCTTTAATTTATTCATCCATGCTAGGCACCTAGTAAATATTTGCCAAATAGAATGGAATTGAATTGTCCAGACCTTAGACACTCCATCTGGTAACACACATTGATCTGTCCGTCCCTCTTTAGCATCTAATGGGGACCAAGTCTATTGGATTCCAGGGCCCCAACTAAGAAGCTGAACAAACAATGGGCTTGGGAATACAACAAGTAACTGTGAAAGGAAGTCCTGTAGACAACTGCGAAGTTCCTCCATCCCAATCCCCCCCAAACAGAACTAGATTCAGTTCCTCTATTTATGCCAAACCCTTTATAAGGAACCTAGCCTGGGGCACTCTGACTCTTGCTTTCACACTCCAGAAGGCTACAGGAAACACCCTGTGCTCACACTTTCAGGGCAAGACTGTTTTAATTTTCTACCCCTTTTCCCCAGACTTCCATCACCAGCTTAGTGGTGGTCTTGGTGGCTTTCACCTTTTGAGGATCCATTCTCCTCCCATTGCTTCTCCTCATTGACTATCATCCTTTCCATCCTTCAGGGAAGTGTGTTCCCCTGGCTCTGGGGAGGACCTTACCGTTTTGAGGTTACTGAGGACGCTCTTTCCATTGATAAAGGCATCTCCAGATGTGATGATGTTTTCCCCAGTCAGCATTTTGAAGGTGGAGGTTTTCCCAGCTCCATTGAAGCCCAGCAGCCCAAAACACTCATTTTTCTGGACTGTGAAGGAGATCCTATTCACAGTGAGGATGGGTGTCTTCCTATGACCACACACCTAAGGAGCCCCCAAAAGAAAACCCATAGACTTCCTATGAATTGTGAAAAACAGGGCTATCAATCCTCATGTAAGAGCCAACACCACACCTCCCTGGGGTAGCAGCAGAAGAGCTCTCCCCCTCTGCTCAAGCTACTTCTCCCCAACCTTATGGATCTCAGAGACCAGCCACCCTCAATCAGGTACGTATCTGATATGCCTCCAATGGGGAAGTCCCAGGACAGCCCTGACTTTCATTTGGCTTTACCTTTGTGAGTTCTTCAGTGATTAGAGGGGTGTTCTGCAATAGCACTGGAAGTGAATTCAGGATTTTCTCTCTCTCCTCTTCCACATCATCGTCTTTGAAAATCAAAGATGGCAAGCTATGAACCCGTGACTATTTCAGAGAGATGAATCACAGACATGAATGCCTTTCAGACATCTGGCTATCTTGAGACAGGGTTGGGAGTAGTGACTAAGAGGCAGGGGACAAGAGGGCACAATAGATGTGCTGAGCTCTTAAAGATGTCAAGCAAGCAGCTCTTGGCTACTTTTGGACTTTTGGAGCACTGTCCACCTCTCAATTAAGCTGACTCCTGCCTTCCCAAGGAAACCGGGGACATTGGTAACTTAGCTCAAATGTGATCAGGACATTCTGGAAATAGAAACTTCATGTGGCATTCCATGCATCCTGATGCATTTTTGGTCAGGAATACAGCAGTGCACTTTTAGGAAAAGAAAGCCAATCTGAGGTCTCAGAGTATCAAGCAGCAGGGCTTGGAAAGGTATAATTTTCTTAACTATTCCCTTGGAGTGTTTGCCCTCAGGAGGACAGATATCCATAACAGAAAGAACAAGCACCTGTCCTGTCTGTCTTGTGGATGACAGTGGGAAATAATGGATTTATATGATATATCCATGATTTTTGTGAACCCCAGTGTTATCCTACCACTTACACTGTGAACATTCAGCCTGAGAGAGAGAATGCCAGAGCCTAGCATTGATCAGAGCTCCTAGGAGGACTCTTGCCAGTGAGCTGAGTGACTGCTTCCACAGAACCTCACGCCTGTGATATGCCAGAATCACATCTGCTTTTCTTGGAAAACACATGCCAAGAGACCTAAACTTCTCCTGTCCCACGCCTCAGACCTTGAGGCTACAGCTTATTTTTCAAACAGGGCCATGAGGAATAATGGCACCCGAGATCCCAACAGCCGTGGCATACACTTATTAAGTGCCTCCTATGTAGCAAGCCTTGTAATGGGGCTTGAGGACACACATATGGAAAGCCATACAGTTTCTTCCTTGGAGGAATTTTGCAGAGAGAATGAAGTATCTCTAAAAATAACCAGAAGTTATAATATGATTAAGAGTTCAAACTGAGCAGCATGCAAGATTTGAAGAAAGAGGAATCAGGTTAGGCTGTGGGCATTACGGTAGGCAGGCATCATGAAGGAGGTGGCCCTTGAAGGAAGGAAAATAATTCAAAAGGTAGAGATTGCAGAGGGCTTCAGGTGCTAGACTAAGGTATTTGTATTTGGCAACAAGCCTGGCACACCGTGAGCTTACATAGATTAGGAGAGTCCAGGTAAAGAGGGATAAGAGCCCAAGCTTGGTGGAACCAGTGGTAGGAATAAAGGGGAAAGAGAGGCAATAGATGTGGGAGGTGGAAACGATGTTTTAGAGTCTTTCTTACAGAGCTAGAATTATAAGCTCTGGTCACTTGCCAGCCATGTAACTATGGGCAAGTCACCTAATTTCTTTTGGTCTCAGTTTTATTATGTGTGAAATGATAATAAGAACACTGGCACCAACCACCTCAGAGTGTTGTTGTTAGGAGATCACTTTGTAAATTGTGAAGCACCATATAGGTCATTCTCCATAGTGAGCATGGAGCTATGTCCCTCCCCCTAATTTATGGGTGATTCTAGAGGCACACGGGCTAGAAGAGATCTGCTTCCAGTTTTGAGAGGGAAGAACAGGTGGAAGATAACAAAAGGGAGGCCAACCCGTAGGGATCTATGTGTTGTCTATGGGGAACCATGTGCACTGAGCAGCTGATGACAGTGAAACAGGAGAAAAGTACATCATGCAGACTCGGAAGCCATTGGCGAGTCAGACAGGGAGAGAGGCTGGAATCTTTCTTCTCACTGGTACTGCGAGTTGTATGGATTGTGAAGGTCTGAGGGGAAAGGTAAAATCTCTAGTGACCCTGAGTTCTTTCCTGAAGGGAAGATAGGGCCTACTGAGAGGGAAGAATTGACTGGCTCCCTATCAAGGCTAAGCAACAGACCATATAGGTCTCTTTTGGAAGCAGGAGCATTTTCTTGTCTGTTATAGGTTAGGATATGAGTCATTCTGCATTTCTGGTTGTCTGTCTTGTTAGCTTGAATGTTGCAAAGGGTTTGAGGATGCTTTCCAGGAGAGCAAAATGAGCCACATAATCACTCTCTCAGAGTTTTCCTGGATGGGACCATGAACCAGAGAGATTTTGTTATAGAGAACAGACCAGATATTGATGTTCCCAAGGTGTTCCCTCGTTGGGTCAATGAGGTAAAGAGATTTTTGTGATGACCCCTCCTAAACTGTGTCCAATTGTGCCAGGGGCTAGGGCTCAGCTGGTGCATATATCACATTTTGAAACAATAGGACACAGTGACAAATTGGATGTACGAAGGAAGAAGGAAGAGTCAAATATAACTCTGAGGTATAGACCTTGGGTGACTGCAAGAACAGAAGCATCAGAAGCAAAAATCTGGAAGTTAAAAGAAAGGGTAGGTTTGGTGGGAGAAGATGGTGTGCTCTGTTCTAGTTGTTTTGAATTTGAGGTTCTGCCAGCTTATTTGGTGGAGATGTTTGGTAGGCAGCTAGAAATGGGAAATAGAGGTCAGAACTAGAGATACAGAGATGAATGGGAATATCACTCACAAAGAGGTGATATTTGGACTCAGGAGAAGAGATAAAAATCCTACAGAGTACATGGAGAACAACATGGTTTAGGACAGAGCCTGGGATCACACTCTCATTTAGCAGGCAGCAGAAGAAGAGCAATCAGCAAAGGAGACCTGATGCTGGAGATATAAAGGCAAAAACGAAATGGTCTTCAAGAACCTTATATTCTACTTGGGGAATACTAATGTGCACACACAAATAAATATAAGATAATTTGAGGAGAGAGAGAGAGAGAGCACTCTAACAAGTGGGGCTGAGAGAATTAGGAAAGGAATCATAGAGGAAGCAGCATCTGAATTGAGTCTTGAAGGGGAGGAGGGAGTTTCAGGCATGTGAGAGAGCTTGTGCAAATGCATGAAGGTGGGAGATAAACTCTGGAGACCCACTTATGGTGGGGGATGTACTTCACATGGGTCTTCTCAGGAATGCAGTGATCCAAGTTCATTCCTTTCATGAAAGGAGGAAATGTGAAATCAGCCCCTTTAGCTGGTCAAAAACCTCATATAGTTGACTTAAGTTTCATACTGAGCCACTCACCAATTTCTCTCTCTCAAAGACCTTACAGAAAGAGATTTTCAGTTTCCGGAAGAAGTTGGTCTCAGTGAAGAAAAGCAACAGGAGAAAAATAGGGCCAGATATAGCCATGGAGGTCAAATACTTTCCAATCCCAAGAGACTGCCAAGATATTCTCTTGATTTATAAAACCACGGCCTAAAGTGAGTCATTGACACTTCATTGAAATCTTGGTTTTACCATTTTTTTTTAAACTTACTGTCTTCAGAAAAGTACAGGTAAAATCTCATTTTAGCATATATTATTAAAAAGACACACTTTTAAAGTGTTATTTCCATATCTTGGCAGATGGGTCAGTCTGATAGTATTGATTTGGTTAAAACAAATTCCCTCCATAGAAAGTATTTAGAAAATATTAAAGTTCAGTAAAAGGCTCTCTGGTCTTTCCACATAACAGTCATATTCTACACCCAAAGTACTTCCATATCCTTGAATGTGGAGATAACAAACTGTAGCTGAGTTTTTCAAACCTTTTTGTTCTTTCATCAAGCAATTATCCTTGGACTTCCTTCCCCAATTATACACAAATCACCCCAGAAAAAGCCACTCACCCATTTAAATTCTTAAATCATCTATAACAAATAACTATGCTCTGAGGCAACTATACCAACTCTCACTTCTGCAGATGAACTAGATCTCCAGAGCATGGCTACTATGTCCCTGGTACTACCCCTGAGGGACTAGGGGGTGTCTTTAATTCTGTAGCTCATGATTGCCTACCAAAGTGCTTTCCTTAATGATTATGGGTTGATTAACAATTAGACTATGGTGTCGGGTGGGGTGGAGTGACTCAATGGATTCAATCAGCCAATCTCTACCTTTACATTCTGTCTTTTCCAATTTTAATATTATATTTGCCATACTCAGCAAAATGACCCGAACATTTTTGGCGACATTCCTAGACTTCAGTCCTCAATACTGCTTCAGTCCCTTGGCGAGGTTCTGCGTGCCCTATCTGAATGCTTTCTTTAGTGCCTCATACTAGAGCCCCAAGAAAAGCCTCTGTGGCACACAGTTCCTAATCAAATCTGGACATTAACATTTTCCCAGCCTTCCAAATAAATGGTGATACAATTAACAAACAAATATCATTTCACAAAGTTCTAATAGGTAGCCACACTTGTCCACTGGACGATGGTGGAGGGCTGGGATTCTCCCCTTCCCCTTTTCCCATGGAGGGCCCATTAGGATACCAAATGCTATACTGAAACTCTCACTTTATCCCTCTCCCACTAAAAAGGTCCTTCTCCTCTGGACCCCCATACACAGGCTGGATTTAATCACTGACCAATTTAAAAAGGAAAAGAGAATTACATTTCCTGTCTCAGAAGGAGAGCACCTAGGCCTTCCCCCACAGGGAGTAGGAATCTGGAGTTGACTAGAAGACACCCCCTTACCCTCAGATTAAGAAACCAAACCAATGGAGCTTGGTTCTTACAAAATGTATATGGGTCCCAGGGGTGCTCCACTAAGACTCCCTCACATCCTGCTCTGGACCCACACTCAGGAGTGGGTTTAATGTTGTCAAATTCCTCTCCACTTCTGCAACGACACAGGACAACCCAAATTTTCTCCAGGAATCTCTGAAATACATAGGGAATCCATAATTTCTCCAAGGGTCTCTAGTCTATAGGTGATCCTTGTATAGTTCCAAGAAAATGTACTGAGTCCCTATACAACAGAGGATTTAATTTCCAAGTGGATCGCTGATACTATAAGGACAACCCAAACAGAATTCCAAACTTGACCAATAATAAGTGATCTCAGAAACTAAAGAGAAGAGAACCAGTTAAGCTCCAAACAAGAACAAAACACCCAAGAGATCAAGCACTTAGGGTCGATTACTCAGGATTTAAGACTGGCTCCTATGGATCTGGAGTTCTTAAGGATGTCACTAAGGCAAGCCTAAACTAGGACCATTTAAAAACAATGAAAATATAAATATTTATTAGCACCTTGGGCCTGCAAATTTTATGCTTCTGATATTAAATGCAGTAATCATACAGAGTTAAAGTAATGCAACAGATATCAGCACATAAGCATTCAAATAAGCAAAGGTCGGTTTTTTTTTTTTTTAGGCAATTGGGGTTAAATGATTTGCCCAGGGTCACACAGCTTGTAAGTATCGAGTGTTTGGTCTGAGGCCGGATTTGAACTCAGGTCTTCCTGACTCCAAGGCTGCTGCTCTCTCGGCTGTACCACCTAGCTGACCCCAAAGGTTGTTTCAAAAGAACCGACTTTTAAGGAAACAATCCGGGAAAACTGTAATTATAGTCTAAAAAGAGAGGAAAAAAATGTTAAATTTTCCTCAACTGGAACCCAAATTAGGGAATCCAATAACCAAAGTCCCAGGTAAAGAAGCTCTTGAGGAGTATCCATAAATTCAAAAGTATCAATATTGATCCCTGAGAATTCCCCCATATATAATGCACACTGACTTTGGGGTTTGGGAGAGTTCCTCATGCCCATACACACAAGGCTAGCTATAGACCATGAGATCCTTATACCAATTCCCATTCTCTCTGGAAAGTAGGGTTTCCAGAGCAAGACTAGTTATATCTTCTCCTGAGGGTTCTGGGGGGTACCCCTGAGGGTTTAGGGATATCTTTCTGATGCTGTTGGCTTGAGACCTTATTCTGTCATGTTTTTCCCCAATATTATTAGTTGATTACTAATTAGCCAGACAATTAGCTTTTAGAAAGGAACATTCACTATGCTGGTATACTAATACCAGCTATTGCAAAGCATCCCCCCAAAAGTCTGTGACTCACTCTCTCATTAGTACCAGAGAACTAGGGGAAAGTAGCCTCAAGACGAGAAAATCCATATGACAAGGTATGTGTGTGGGGGAAGTCATAGCTCCTCATTGCTCTTGTAGCTTCTTTTCTCCCTTTGTGGGCTGCTCAAGAAGTTCTCCTTAGCCATGGTATGGCTTCTTTGATGGGCTCCTTACAGAGCTGTGAACCTGCCTTTTCAAATCATATCCAGGCTGTTCTTAGCTCCTGATGCGGACACAGGCCACTGCATTGCTAGGGAATGTTGTTACACTATTGATGGAAAGATAGGGACTCTACAATCTTCTCAGCCTCTGAAGTTTATGAGGTCTTCTTGGGGGAGACCAAGACTGAGACTGAGGCTTAGAGTTCTGCTAGTTCCCCATCCCCCAAATTAATTCCTTTTCATCAGTTTAGCTTCAATATTAGCTTTTTGCTTGTTTAAATCTCTCACCTCCCAAACTAGCTTCCTCATTTTATACAGGCTTCAAAAGGCATTGCCAAGTACCCTCAGCCAAGCAGAAGTTTCTTCCAATGGAATTCCATTTGATCAAGGATCTCATTTAGTCTAAAGCCTGTGATTGACTGAGGCCTGTTCTCACCTGGTTAAGGTATGAGTGTATAACATTTTATTACTAACTTTAAGTGAGGGAGAGGTAATTTGATTGATTCACTACACATGCAAACAAGTGCAAATACCTGCTTTTCACCTTCTGATTTACTAGAAAGGGGTTGGACATTAGCTTGATTTGTTCTCCAGCTCTGGTAGGGTGGGAAAATAATGTCTAGCAACATACTAATTATAACAGAATTATGCAACAATGAATTTAGATGTTTTGTAGACTTTGTTGCAATGACTTACGTACTCACTCCTTGCAACTTCCCAATCTCCCTAGAAAAGCAAACTGAATATTTGATGGACCTAAGCAGGCTGGTATTCTCCCCTCCAAGACTGGCTCATCTATCTTTGGACCTGCCGTGTAACATTATTGTGCAGTAGACACAATGTGACCATCCTGGGGAGGGTACAGGGAAGAGACAGATATTTCTAGATGGGCCTCAAGCCTGCCATAGCCAGTGCCTTCTTTCACATCATTACCCTCCTGGCCTTCTGCTTTACTGTTTGCAGGAATCTTAAAGCTCTAGGTCTGAACCTCATAACACTAACATCACTGTCAATATTTACACAAACTAGAACCTGGGGATATTGCAAAGGAGGGTTTCCCAGTCATTCCAGAGTAGGCTCAGCACACCACACAGCTCGTGCCCAGGCAACCCCACGAGCAAAGGCCTAGGAATATTCCTATCCTTTCCTCTTCCTCTTAGTCTTCTAAGATGTTCACGGCAAGAGTTGAGTTCTGCCCTCATTGACTTTTTCAGGTGTTGAGGGCATTGGTGAGGCATTACTGCTCTAGAGAACTCTGTGCTGCCCTATGGACCCTAAAGGGTCAATGAGTTCCTTCTAGAAAGGATTCTACTCCTTACTTCTTAGAAGTCTCAGTCTACAAGCCATCAGTCAGTTAGTTGCCTTGCTTTTTTACTTTTGAGTCTTTTCCAAGAACTTCCTGATTCTCCTCTGTTATGGGGTATGACTTAGGAAGTGACAGTAGCCTCTGATGACACTCCAGCTCTTTTCCTTTGGGGCAGAGGAGAGTACCATTCATCCACCCACCCCTGCATGCTCTGCTCCCAATGATGGAAAAACAGAGAAAGGATTGTTTCCAGGGACTGAGGGTAGGTGGGTGGTGAGCAGATACTCACAAACTGTTTTGCAATTGTCCTTTGGAATTTCCAAAACTTTACAGAACCGTTTGATTTCATAGTTATAATACAAATTGGAGAAAGCCATTGATAGGTCATAATTTGGTAGCAACTGGAATAAAATATCCAACTTGTCACTAAGCTTTTGAAAGCCTAGTTATGTGATGAGAAAGAAAAAAGATTAATCAATAATGTTTATTCCTCATCTTCCCCTAGCTAGCTTCCCCTTGCGACTTCCCCTTTTCTGTCCATGGTATTCTTACCTTCCCAGGGTCCAGAACAGGGGTGGGGAACCTGCAGCCTTTAGGCCACATGTAGCCCTGTAGGTCTTCAAGTTCAGCCCTTTGACTGAATCCAAACTTCAAGTTTGGGTTTGGCATCAGTCAAAGGGCCCCACTTGAGGACTAGAGAACCACATATGGCTTCGAGGCCACAGGCTCCTCACCCTGGTCCAGAAGAAACCCTTTGAGTCATCTTTGATTCTCCAATCTCTTCCCCATCATCTCCTGTTCCAATTATGCATCAGTTCCTTTTAATTTTTCATGTGCAGTGCCCCTAATATCTTTGCCTCCCTTTCTACCTCTTAGCACATGTACCACTCCCCCCTTCCACTTCCACTGTCCCCTGTTCCTTCATTGCCTCACATCTGAGGCCCTCCCTCATACAAGGTACCCTGAAGGTGTTTTTTAGACCATACCTGTAACTTCATTGGTACAGGAAATTCTTGATGAGTAGTCTTAGAGAGAAACTAGGGGGTGAAGTGAGTGGACAGACTACTGGGCCTGGAGTTAGGAAGTATGTTCAGCAATTTTCAGTCATGTCCTTCTCTTCGTGATGCCATTTGGGATTTTCTTGGTAAAGATGCCAAAGTGGTTTGCCATCTCCTTCTCCAGCTCATTTTACAAATGAGGAAAGTGAGGCAAACAGGGTTAAGTGACTTGCCTAAGGTCACACAGCTAGTAAGTGTCTGATATCAGATTTGAACTTACAAAGATGAATGAATCTTCCTAACTTCAACCCTGATACGCTATCCACTTTGCCACATTGCTGTCTGGAGTCAGGAAGACCTAAGTTCAAATCTGGCCTTACTAGCTGTGTTACCTTGGGCAAGCAACTTTAACCTCTGTCTGCCTCAGTTTCCTCTATTGTAAAACTACCTCCCAGGGTTGTTGTGAAGATCAAATGAGACAATATTTGTTAAGCACTTAGAACATCATCTAGAACATAGTAAGTACTTAATAAATGCTTATCTCCTTGGTACTTAATAAGTGTTTGTCTCCTTCCTTCCTTAAAGGGGTTGCCTGGCACACCAGAGATTAAGTGACTTGTCCAGAGTTATACAGACAGTGTATGTCAGAAGCAAGACCTGAACTCAGTTCTTCCTGACCCTGAGGCTGACTTTATATTACACCACACTGTCAATTAATCTCTAGGATTAAAATATTACTTCCATCACATCATTCTCCTATCTCAAAATCTTTAATGGATTTCCATATCTTAAAGGAAAAAGCCTTAACCTCTTAGCCTAACCTCCAAAGACCTCCAACCTTATCTCCCATCATTCCCTTACACAAACCATTTTGTTACATCCATGGGAGAGCCCAGGGGTGTGCACACTCTCTCACAAACACTCAAATTTAATCACTCTCATTCCATTATCTGTCCCACACCCTACTCCTACTCTCTCCACTCTGAAGGGACTACAGAGAATCAGAATTGTCAATTACATCTGTACAATCTGTACCATGCTAATATATGCCATGGGGATCAAGCTTCAGTTGTTTGTCTTGATCTAAATTCAACTTAGGCTCATATGGTGCCAAGCTCATATGACCTACTCTGGGGGTTCCAATACCATGAAGATCCATACTAGCCTAACTTTTTCTCCCTCTCTCCATGTTCCCAAGCTTTCCAGGTTTCTGTATCTGGAGACGAATGCCTCTTATGTTATTCAGGGATCCTCTTGTGATCACATTCTCACCTTCTTGTCCAGTGAGATTTAATTGTCCAAATCTAGAACTTGCAACCCTCCAGGTTCTCCACTCACCACACTCTTCCTCTTTGACATAAACCCGCTCGGTACCATACTGACAAAAATGCTGACAACTGGTGAAGACGATTTCACACACTCATAATGCCAGGATCTGTACTAGCTCCTGTTCTTCCACAGTGATTTAAATTCCATGGTAACGTGACTTATGACCCCACAAAGAATGTAAACTACATTGAGTAGCCGCAAACAGCAAAAGAAGTTCCAACTATCCCATGGGAGAACTTGTACATGACCCTGGACCATCCCTGGCACTGTGCCTTCTTTGCTCTGTTTCTATATAATACCTGGCCTGGGGCTGGTGTGGGGATCCACCGTGTTACTTTGTCTTAACTGCCACTCAGGATGACAGCCTCTTGGCATACTTAGGGCAAAGCAGATCTGACCCCTTATACCCTATTCCTGGATAAGGAAAGTATCTTGATGCTACTTGCAAATATTTCCCCTCTCCTTACTGCCTATCAAAATTATATTCATTCTTTGAGTCCCAGAACAAATCTTACCATACCCCCAAGCAGCCCATACTAACTAAAGTTTTCACTTCTCTCTGTACTCCTACATTATTACTGCCTGTACCAATACTCAGTAATTATTTTTTCCTATGTACATGTCTTTGGGTATTATTACCTTACCTGGAGACTCTAATCCAGTGCTGGGGTAGGGGAGAGAAGTATCCTTTAACACTTACTCAACGAACATTGCTTAAGGGCTTACTATGTTTGTGGCACTGTACTAGATGCAGGGGGGTGGGTGGGATTAAAAGAGAAAGAAAACATGATCCTTGCCCCTAGCTAAGCACCAGATCAGGGTATGGGAGGAGTCTAAGGTGACTGAGTTTTTTAGCCTGGGTAATTGGGCATATGTTAATGACAGAAATAAGGAAGCCTTTAGATGGAAGATAATGAATTTGGTTTTGGATGCATTACAGTGGAGATGATGCAGGTTAGTCACATGGAGATGTCCAGTAGGTAGTAGGAAATTAAAGTGTCTTCCTTTCTGGGATTGCCTTCATAAACTCTGTATGTGTGTTCGTGTGCATATAAATACATAAAATATACATATGTACACATGTATAACAAATACACAACATGCGTGTTATCTTGTATGGACCTAATTATTTACATGTTGTCTCCTCCATTAATAATAATAATGACGATGATGATGATGATGATGATGGTAGCTAGCACTTATTTAGCACCTAGCATGCATGCCAGGCACTGTGATAAATGCTTTACAAATGTTATTTCACTTTATCCTCACAACACTTGGAGGTAGATGCTATTATGATCCCCATTTTACAGTCGAGGAAACTGAAGCAAAGAGAGGTAAGATGACTTGCCCAAAGTCACACAGCTAACAAGTGTCTGAGGTTGAATTTGAACTCAGGGGAGTCTTCCTGTCTCCATTAAAATGTGAGCTCCTTAAGAGCAAGTGCTGTTTTTGGCTGCTTTGTGAATCCTTCATGCTCAGCACATAGAAAAACTCTTATCAAATGCTTGTTGATTGGCTGACAGGCATGGACCTCAATAAAAAGCTTAGTGCTAAAAACACAGATTTGGGAGTCATCCATTGAGAGGTTACAGCTGAAGCTAAGTGACTGAATGAGATCACTAAAGGAGGAAAGGGAAGAGAGCAAGCCAGACAGTATAGTAGCTATAAATTAAAGAAAGGGTAAGGTGGGGGTTGGATATCACATAATCAGATCTTTCACTGGCATGTGAACTGTGGCTGTGGTGAAGTATAGCTCTCTTTCTCTCCTTGAGGGCTTGAAGCCAGGAATTCTCCATGTCTTATTCTTGCACACTCTATCATTTTACACTAGTTTCTCTTAAGGTTTCTTATTGTATCCACACGACTTTAAACCTCTCTGGCAGTTCTCTGTTATTAGTTGAATTTATAATTATTTGGTACCTAGAAACCATCTTGGATTCCACACTATCTTTCACACACCCCCTTCTCTCTTCCAACACTGCCATCACTCTGGTGCAGGTCCTCATCACCTCATATCTAGACCATTATAATATACTGCTAGTGGGTCTGCTTGCCTCAAGTCTCACCCTGCTTCAATCCATTCTCTATCAGCCACTAAAGTGCACATCTGGTCATGTTATCCTCCTAATCAATAAACTCCAGTGGCCTCCCATCACCTTCAGGATCAAATATAAAATGCTCCGCTCATCATTCAAAGCCCTTCATAATCTAGCTTCTGCCTACCTTTCCAGTCTTCTTAGACCTTACTCCCCATCAGGTACTCTTCAATCCAGTGACATTGGCCTCATTACTGTTCCATGAACAAGAGACTCCATCTCTTGGTTCTGGCTATGCTTCATGCCTGGAACATGCTCTCTCTCCATCTCTGCCTCCTGAATTCCCTGGCTTCCTTTAAGTCCCAATTAAAATCTCACCGTCTACTGGAATCTTTTCCCAGCCCCTCTTAATTCTAATGCCTTCCCTTTGTTAATTATGTCCTATTTATCTTGTATACAGCTTGTTTGTAAGTAAATGTTTGCATGTTGTCTCCCCTGTTAGATTACAAATTCTTTGAGGGCAGAGACTGTCTTTTGCTTTTTTTTTTTGTATCTCCAGTTCTTATTACAGTGCCTGACACATAGTAGGCACTTAATAAATACTGACTGGTTGATTGGTAGGTGGTTTGGGTATTTAAATGGACAAATGGCCTTTTATGCTGAGTGTCAAAGAGGAATGAATCAAATAGTCAATTGTCTTCATTCAGGACTGTCAGTTCTTGTTCAATTCCAAGTGATATCCCTATCCTTGAGTCCATTCCTACCCATTCACTTACTGGTCCTAACCATCCCACAAATAGGCCTCCCCTCTCCCCGCTTCCCAGTTCACCAGAATGACTTAGTATGTGTTGGTGGAATGGGGTACTGGGGGTGAATGTCCTTACCATATCGCCCTGTGATGGTGAAAATGATGAACGGAACAATGCCTGTAATGATGTTCAGAACCACGAGTTTGGCACACCCAGAAGCAGGCCCGGAGAAGAAGCAGCTCATCAGGTACATGCAAGGGATGACAGACCAGCCATACAGCAGGAGCCTCAGTACGACGGCTTCAGGGTGTTTGCTCTGGATGTAAACTTTCTCATCGATGACCTTCATTAAGCACTTGGGTATAGACAGTTTCAAAGGGAAGGAAGGGAAGAAAGAATTAATAAAGTATTAAGAAATCAATTTTGAACACCAGAGGGGAATGCACTAGTCCCTATTCTAAAAGCAAGTTTTGCAACTCCCTAGCAATCAGTTCAGTTCAGTCCTTTGTAAAAATCTAGGCACTTCATAATGAAGGTGAGAAGTAATGTCATTTCCCCAGCAGCCAAGGAGTCCCCAATGGGCAGCATTCTCTTACTGTCTTAGCTTTTTTTCCTCGTTGGAATAATTTCCCATTTTTCAGTCAATGCAGCTATCCCCAGTGATCAAGTCCCCAAATCTTTGGGGCAAGATTTTAGGGGACAAATATATAGGGAGCTCAGCCTGAAGAGGGTCATCAATGTTTCTGTAAGTCTCAGGGAAATTACCATTCTTCAACTGAGGGCAGGGGATCTAGAAACTTCTAAACTGTGTTTCCCAGTTGGCAGGAGCTAAAGTAGTCAACTTGACTTTCCTGACTAGATTCAGGTGCTGGGTAGTGTTGTCCAGAAGGGAAGTTTCTATGATATGCAGTAGAATGGACCTCAATATACACTTTATCTAACATTTACCAATAGTAGCAAGCTGTTAAGGAAGATGGTGATTAAATCCCACAACAGGAAAGAAAGCCAGTAATGAACTGGAGAAATTCCACTGATAAACTGGATATGTTTTGACCTTAAGACTCGATCACTGATTGCAAGAATGGCAAATGAACTGACCATGAATGACATTCCAAAAACCATGGAAATGGAAAGAAAATGTCCCTTAGAGACCCTGTGAGAGACAGGACACAAGGAAAAAAGAGATCAGTAAAAGATCAGCCATTATCACTGACTCCCTTCAAGAGTCAATACTTCAGGGTACTGGGGTTTTGTATGTGTGGGAGCCCCCTATATGCTCTCTGTGATTTAGTAGGTAAGTCTTAAGGAGTTGCCAAAGGCTCAGATAGTTTAAGTAATTTGTTCATGGTCATGAGCCCCATTCCATCCCATCCTCTCCAGCAGATTGGCCCCTTCACCATCTTCCCTCTCACTTATTTTCAACCTTTCCCCATCTAATAGTTGCTTCTCTGTCTATAAACATGTCCATTTCTCCTCCACTATCAAAAACCCTCACTTGATCCATCCATCCTCACTAGCTGTCATCTCATAGGGCTTGTTTCTAAGCTGCTTGAAAAGGCAGTAGACAATTGATATCTTCTCTTGCTTTCCTCTCATTCTCTTTTTAATTCTCTACTCTGGTGTCTGACATCCTCATCTAACTGCTTCATCTAACTGCTCCTCAAAGTTACCAAACTTTGAAAGAGAAAATATCTTAATTGGCAAATCTACTGACCTTTTCTTCAATCCTAATCCTTCTCGACCATTCTGAAACTTTTGGTAAGGGAAGGGTGAAGGGAATAAGCATTTATTAAGCACCTACTGTGTGATAAGCACTGTGCCAAACATTTTACAAATATTATCTCATTGGATTCTTATAATCCTTCCAGGTACGTGCTATTATGATCCCCATTTTACAGTTGAGAAAACTGAGGCAAACAGAAGTTAAATGACTTGTCCAGGGTCAAACAGCTAGTAATTATCTGAGGCCAGATTTGAATTCTGGTCAAGGATCCTCTTTTCCTTGATATTCTTTTCTGTTTAGATTTTCATGACACTACTTATTTCCTTGTTCTCCTAACTGTCTGACTATTCCTTCTCAGTTTAACTTGGCTGAATCTTTATCCAGGTCACTCCCATTAACTATGAGTGTCCCTGAGGGCTCTGTCCTGGGACTTCTCAGTTTATACTATTTCACTTGATGATCTCAGCAGCTCCCATGGATTCAAGTATTATCTTTATGCTGATGACTCTTATCCAACCATATACTCTTTCCTAATCTCTAGATTTGCACCTCCAGCTGCAAATTTACATCTTGGACTGGATATCCTGTAGATATCTTAAACTCAACATGCCCCAAATCTGTCACAACAGATAATATGCTAGACCTGGGATCAGGAAGACCAGAGTCTAAATCCAGTTTCAGATCCTAGCTGGACAACTCACTTAGCTTCATCTGCCTTAATTTTCTCCTCTATAAAATGGGGATAATAAAGCACCTAACTCAAAGGGTGGTTGAGAGAGATAAAATGAGAAATATTTGGAAAGCATTTTGTAAAACTACAGCATTATATATAAGAGCTAACTATAGATTATAATATACGTTATTTTTGCTGCCCAAGTCCTTCCTAATTTTCCTATTATTGTTAAGGGCACTATCATCTTCCTAGTTACCCAGGCTTACAACCTAGGTGACATCCTCCACTCCTCACTCTCTCTTATTCCCATTATCCCCATTATCTTATTCCCATTATTGTTGCCAAGTTCTGTCAATTCTACTTTTGTGGCATCATTCCTTTGTACCCCCCACTCCCACCCCAGTTCTTCTCTTTGGACACTACAGTCACTCTGGTGCAGGCTCTCATCACCTCACACCTGGACTATATTGCAGTAGCCTTCTGGTTGGGCTCCCTGTCACAAATCTCTTCCCATTTCAGTCCATTTTCCACTTCATCTGTCAAAATTTTTTTAAAAATTTTATTTATTTTATTTTAAATTTATGGAAAAAAACAAGCATTTCCATAACATAGTATAATAAAAAAGATGATTGCACATGAAACTGCAACTATATTACATACAACTTGCTACTCCTTTTAAATATATAATAATCATGTAAATTTCTTATTTTTCCTTTTTTTTTCTTCCTCGCCTCCAGAGATGGCTATCATTAGACACAAATATGTATGTGTGTGTGTGCGCACATGCGTGTGTGTGTGTGTGCATGTAAAATCATTCTATATTTACTTCTTTTTATCTGGATGCAGATAGCATCTTCCTTCATATGTCCTTTGTAATTAATTTGAATATTTATAATAGCCAAAATGACTTATTTGCTCAAAGTTATTCTGTTACTGTATATTGCTGTTACTGTATATTGATCTTTCTAAAGTGCAAATCTGATCATGTCAGCTCCCTACTCAATAAACTCTAATGGCTTTGTATCACCTCCAGGATCAAATAAAAAGTCCTATTTTTGGTATTCAAAGCCCTTCATAACCTGTCCCCCGCCTTTCCAGCTTTTTTATTTTCATAACTTGTTCCTCTCCATGTACTCGGTGATCCAGTAGCCCTGGTCTTGATATTCCTCACACTCCGTTCTCCCAACTCTGGGCATTTCCACTTGCCGTCCCCTGCCTGGAACATTTTCCCTCCTTATCTCAGCCTTCTGGTTTCCCTGACTTCTTTCATGTTCCAGCTAAAGTCTCACCTTCTACAGGAAGTCCTTCCCAATTCCCTTTAATTCCAATGCCTTCCTTCTACCGGTTATGTCCAATTCATTCTGTCTATAGCTTTTCTGTCTGTAGTTGTTTGCATATTGTCTTCCACATTAAACTGTGAGCTCCCTGGGAGCAGGGACTATCTTTTGCCTTTCTTTGTATCACCAGCGCTTAGCATAGTGCCTGGCATATAGTAGGCACTTAATAAATGCTTGTTGACTGACATGAGCTAGTAAGTAGTAGAGGCAAGACTTGAACTCAAGTCTACCTAACTCCAATTCCATCACTTTATCCAATGATTCTGGTTGCCTTCAAGAGTATAACATCTAAACTGAATAAACAGGTAAAGAAGTACTACAGAGATATATTGTTTTAACTTCATAAGAAGGGAAGTTACACATACTGAAAGAGTCTAATATGAGAAGCCTCAACAAGTTGTGGAAGCTCAGGTTCATTGGTGACTGTAATGGAAGCCCTGGAGCCAAAAAACAACTTGTAGAGAATATTTTCCACCATTGACAAGGCCATGGGAGCAGTATGGTAGGCCTGGTTATTGAACAGAGTAGAGATGACTGTTTGATCCTCCTTGTCTTGAAAGGACATTGCCATAAGAAAGTTTTCATCAAAGGTATCAGATTCTTCTTCTGCCTTTGATATCAGGAAATCTTCTATAGGCTCTAGGAATGGGGAGCAACATTAGAATGTTGATTGAACACCTTCTATATCCATAGCACTAAACCAAATCTCATGACATGAGGACAATATAAACAAAATTGAACATATAAGTCATAGAATCATAGACTGTCAGACAGAGAATATACTTTAGTACAAAACCTTCATATGACATTGTGTCTTGGAAAAAGAATGTAAATTCTCCAAGGTCATACAACTACTATCTGTTTAGTCTTCAGAAATCATCTGGGGACATAAGTCACAGAATGTTAGGAGGGCTGTAATTAGGGATAATGACACTCAGTGAAAATATAGGGGTGGGGAAGACCTTGGGCCAAAAAGATGCGCTCTGGACAAGGTACTCTATGAAAGTAGAGATGCTGCCCTGTGTCAGGGAACATTGAGACCCCATTTCTTTGAGTGGGAGAAATGTCAAAGGCACCCTCCGTGGCAGAAATGTCACAGAAATCTAGGACTCCCTTGGATGGGTACAGTCATGCTAGGAGAGGGAAAGATTCATCCCTGAGGGAGTTTGGCTTGCAGATCTATGGCAGCTGATGACTGACCCTCTAATCCCCAAATGCAGAAAGCAGTTGAGGGATAGAAGTGGCATTAGGCATGGACAGTGGCTTGTCACAGTGGCACAGGGGAAGAGATAGAACACCACAGCTATTGAACCATGAAGATGTTTGCCCTGGGGCTACACAAGGCAATGGGTAAACAATAAGGTACAGGAGTATCAGGAGGAAGACTGCTGTGAGGGGGAAGGATGGGCCCCAAATGGTGGCACCAAATGGTAGGGCCCCAGTCACTTTGCCCTACTCATGATTATGAATGCCAGACTTGGAAGGAACCCTAGAGATGACCTAGCCTAATTGCATCCTATTATAAGATGAGGAAACTGAAGTCTAGTCAGGAAAAGTATTTGCTCAAGGTCACATAACAAGTTAGCAGCAGATTCAGAATAATATTTTCCTGACTCCCAGTCTAGTGTTCTTTCCACCATGCTCTGGGACTTAAAATAACAAACAATATACAAAAAGCTGTGAATTAGCATAGTGTGTGGATCATTAACCTAGAGTATCTATCAGTAACCAATGGCATGATAACCTACAAATCTATGAAAGGATTTTGGATAGCACACTATACTTTTTGCCATTCAAATCTTAAGACAAATTTACAAAGTAGATGAAGTCTGTGTTTAGGTCTAATTATTTATTTTTGGTTGTACAGCCTTTTTTCTCTACTTCTCTTACATTACTTATATTTTGATAAAGAAAAAAATAAACATTTTAACAATGACAACTTATTCCCCCTACGTACCTTTCTGATCTCTACTCTCAACCTCATCTCTATTTGTGTACATGTAAAGTTTTGTGCACTCTGTGTGTGTATGTGTGTGTGGTGTGTGTGTGTGTGTGTGTGTGTGTGTGTGTGTGTGTGTGTGTGTGTGTCTGCTTTAAACACCAGGTCTCCACATATTGCCCAGGCTAGAAGTCCAGGTTACTCGTGGGTGTGATCCTACTACTGACTGACCAGTGCAGGAGCTCTGACTTACTCTGTTTCCAACCTGGGCCATTGAATTCCTCCTTAGGCAATCTGATCCTCCTTCCCCTACCCTACTTGGCCTCCCAGATCCTGGGGGCTTACCATATTCATGACGAATTTAGTGTGGACACCCAATAAGCATAACCTACTCTAGCTCAGAACCCCTGAGCTAAATAGATCCACTATCCTCAGCCTCCCTGGTTGTTGGGATTATAGCCATGTGCCACCATGCCTGGATTGTTTTTTTTCAAAGGCTTTCTAAAAACTGACAATCATTAAATGCTGTGGGGTCTTATATTCTCTAATATCTCTCAGTTGGCCATACAATTATAATAATCTGGTCCACTGCAGAAAATCACCTTCAAAAAGCCTGCCCGGTAGGGGGTAATCAGAAGTAAACACTTTTGAGGAGGGACAGGGTGAAAGGAGAGAATAGAATAAATGGAAGGTGGGATAGGATGAAGGGAAATATAGTTAGTTTTTTATAACATGGCTATCATGGAATTGTTTTGCATGACTACACAGGTATAACCTGTATCGAGTTGCTTGCCCTCTCAATGACGGTGGTTGGACAGGGAGGGAGGGAGAGAATTTGGAACCCAAAGTTTTAAAAACAAATGTTAAAAACTGTTTCTACATGCAACTGGGAAATAAGATATACAGGCAATGGGGTATAGAAATCTATCCTGCCCTACAGGAAAATATAAGGGGAAGGGGACAAGAGAAGGGGAGTGATAGAAGGGAGGGCAGATTAGGGGAAGGGGTATGCAGAATGCACACTCTCTTGCGGTGGGGGGAGGGGAGAGATGGGGAGAAAATTTGGAACTCAAGATCTGCCTGGAGCCAGAGCCAAGATGGAGGAGTAGAGGGAGCATTCTAGCCAAACTCTTCCAACATTCCTTGCAAACAACTTTAAATCACGTGTCAAATTGAATTCTGGAGCAACATAGCCAACAAAAGGTTGGGGTAAGGCATTTTTCTAGCCCAAAACAACTTAAGAGGTTGGAAGGAGAGATTTGGGTGGAAGCTGGTCTGGAGCACATGAAACAGCCACTCCAGCTGTGGGCATTGGAGGCTACAGCAGTGGCAACAGTTTCAGAAGCTTTCGCCACCCAGGAAAGGTAGGGGGACTGGATAATTGGCCAGAAAGAGATTACAGGGCAGGACCCATGTGTTGGCACTGGGCACAGGACTAGGTGTGCTTGGCAACTCCATTTCCCATACCCAGTTCTAGGTCACAGTTCCATGGCAGAGAGGAGCACTTGTGGTTGCTCACAAGGGAGCAAGGGCCCCGGTCACAAGTCTAGGGAAAAAGAAGAGCACTAATGCTTGTGGTAGCAAGGAAGCAGGGGCCCTTCCTGGCTAAGGACCAGAATGCAGACCATGAGGGCAATGACCACAATTCTCCCAGGATCACACCATCATGAAGCACTGAAAACTTACAGATCTTAAGCACTAGCTGTGAAAACATCAGGGTAAAAAAAGCTTGGGACAGTGACACTATCTCCCATGCTGAGATGAACAGAGCTCAACTTTAACATAAAATTCAAAGTCAAGAAATCAGCTAGATAAATGAGCCAACAACAAAAAGGACATTTCCATTAAAAGCTACTATAGTGACAGAGAAAGCTCAAGACACAAACTCAGAAGGAGACAAAGACATGAAAATATCTATAAAGAAAGCCTCAGATAAAAATGAAGATTTGACACAACCCAATAAGAATTCCTAGAATAGATTAAAAAAAGAGCAAAAGTGGTTTTTAATATCAAGTAAGAGCAATAGTGGAAAACTGGGAAAAGAAATGAGAGCAATGCATGAAAATTATGAAAAAAGAATTAAGTCTGGGAAAAGAGGCACCAAAAATACTGAAGAAAATAACTCCTTAAAAATCAGAATTGGCCAAATGGAAAAAAGAGGCACAAAACCTCACTGAAGAAAATAATTCCTTAAAAATTAAAATTGGTCCATTCTTATGGACTAGAAAGCATAGGAATAAATGGAGCTTTCCTTAAAATGATAAGTAGTATCTAACTAAAACCATCAGCAAGCATTATCTGTAAAGCTAGAAGCCTTATTAAGATCAGGGTGAAACAAAGATGTTCATTATCACCACTATTATTCAATATTGTATAGAAATGCCAGCTATAGCAATAAGACAAGAAAAAGAAATTGAAGGAATTAGAATAGGCAACAAACTATCACTTTTTGCAGATGATATGATGGTATACTTAAAGAATTCCAGAGATTCAACTAAAAAAAACTAATTGAAACAATTAACAACATTAGCAAAATTGCAGGATATAAAATAAGGCCACACAAATCATCAGCATTTTTACATATGACCAACAAAGTCCAGCAGGAAGAGATAGAAAGAGAAATTCCATTTAAAACAACTGCAGACAATACAAAATACTTGAGAGTCTACCCATCAAGACAAACCTAGGAACTATATAAACACAATTACCAAACACTTTTCTTTTCTTTTTTTTAAGGGTATTTTTTTTCTTTTTTTTTTGGCTAGGCAATGGGGTTAAGTGACTTGCCCAGGGTCACACAGCTAGTAAGTGTTATGTGTCTGAGGGTGGATTTGAACTCAGGTCCTCCTGATTCCAAGGCCAGTGCTCTATCCATTGCGCCACCTAGCTGCCCCTACCAAATACTTTTCACACAAATAAAGACATATCTAAACAACTGGAGAAATATTAATTGCTCATGGGTAAGCTGAGTCAACATAATTAAAATAACAATTCTAGTTATATTAATTTATTTATGCAGTGCCATACCAAACTACCAAAAATTATTTTATAGAACTAGAAAAAATCATAACAAAATTCATCAGGGAGAACAAAAGATCAATAATATCAAGGGAAAGAATGAAAAAAAAAAGTGAAGGAAGGTGGCCTCGGAGTTCCAGTTCTCAAACTGTATAACAAAGCAGTATTCATCAAAACAATCTGGCATTGGCTAAGAAATAGAATGGAGGGTCAGGGGAATAGATTAGGTACACAATATACAGAAATAAATGACCACAGTAATCTGGTGTTTGATAACCCCAAAGAGCCAAGCTTTTGGAGCAAGAATTCACTATTTGACAATATCTTCTGGGAAAACTGGAAAGCAGTCTGGCAGAAATTCAGCACAGTAATAAAGGTCAAAATGAGTACATGATTTAGTCATAAAGAGTGATGTCATAGGGAGCATGGAAAAATACCTATCAGATCTATGGATAAAGGAGGATTTTATGATCAAAAAGAGAAAGGATCATGGGAAATAAAAAGGATAATTTTGATTACATGAAATTAAAAAAAGGTTTTTATACAAACAAAACCAATGTAGCCAAAATGAGAACGAAAGTAGGAAAATGGGAAAAGATTTTGACAGCAAGTTTCTATGATAAAGGCCTCATTTCTCAAATATGTAAGGAATTCAGCCAATTTAAAAAAAATAAGAGTCA